AGTTCTTGAAGATACCGATATGACCAATGAAGAACGTCGATCATGTATAGATATATGTAAATATTTTCATGTTAGTACCCAACAAATTTCAAAACGTTTTCTTGCTGAACTTGATCGACATAATTATGTTACACCAACATCATATCTTGAATTAATAAATACATTTAAAACATTACTTGAAAAACGTCGTTCAGCATTATTATCAGCTAAAACACGTTATGAAGTTGGTTTAGAAAAACTTGAAAATGCTGCATCACAAGTTGGTAAAATGCAAAAAACTTTAGAACAATTACAACCACAACTTGTTGAAATGGATAAAAAAGTTGATGAAACATTAGTTATTGTTGAAAAAGAAAAAACTGAAGCTGTTCGACAAGAACAAATCGTACGTGTTGATGAAGAAAAAGCTAATGAACAAAAAGCATCAGCTGATCAAATTAAAGCTGAATGTGATTTAGAATTAGAAGCAGCTATGCCAGCATTTAAACGAGCAACAGAAGCATTAAATACAATAAGTAAATTAAATACATTTTCATAGAAGAATTGGACAAGTACGAATTTTCTGAAATAAACCATTCTCTGCAATAGAAGATTCCCGATTTTCTATTGTATCCCACTTATTTTCATAATTTTTAATTTATGATAGTTTTTTCAAAAAACTAAAATGCTTTTAATGATCTGATAAAGATTTTCCGGCACATTGTTTCTCTAAAGAATTTTTATAGCAACTGGACTTGAAATGTGTGCTCTAATATCGATCCTTCGAATACTCGTACTTATCCAGCTCTATTTCAAAGATATTCTTTATTTAGTTTTGAATTACGTTTTTTTTTCTTCTTTTCTTCATTAGAACCTGAACAAATAGCTGAAATGAAAGCTATGAAAAATCCACCAGGTGCTGTTAAAACAGTTATGGAAGCTATTTGTATATTACTTGGTGAACAACCTGAAAGAGTTGTTGATCCAGCAACAGGTCAACGTAAAGAAGATTGGTGGAAAACATCTGTACGTGCTTTAGGTAATCAAAATTTTCTTAAAAGTTTACTTACTTATAAACGTGATGAAATTCCACCAAATTATATGAAACGTATTCGTGAAAAATATGTACCAGATCCAAATTTTCAACCAGATAAAGTTGAAACTGTATCACAAGCTTGTGCTGGTTTAGCAAAATGGACATTAGCTATGGATAAATATGATGTTGTTGCAAAAATTGTTGCACCAAAAAAACAAGCTTTAGCTTCTGCTCAAGATCAAGTTGCTAAAGCTGAAGGTATTTTATCAGAGAAGCGTGCACATTTACGTACTGTACAAGAAAAATTAGCTATTTTACAAAAACAACTCGATGAAAATTTAGCAAAAAAAGATGAATTATCTAAACAAGTATGAATAATTTGATTTAAATTATATTAAAATAAAAACAAAAAAATGTTTATTTGTTTTTGTTAAGGTTACGGATTGTAAAACAAAATTAATACGTGCAGAAACTTTAATTGGTGGACTTGGTGGTGAAAAATCTCGTTGGATGCAAGCTGCAAAAGATTTAACACAACAATATGATAATCTTATTGGTGATATTCTTTTATCAGGTGGTGTTATTGCTTATTTAGGAGCATTTACGGCTGTTTTTCGCCAAGTATGTAATAAATATTTATATATATATATATATTCATTAATTTTTTTGTTTTTTTTTTCTCCTCAATGAATTATTTATATTAGGATATGGCGCATGAATGGAATAAATTAATTGAAGAAAAAAATCTACCACGTTCAGCATCATTCACTCTTGTTGGTACTCTTGGAGAACCAGTTGTTATTCGTGCATGGAATATTGCTGGTTTACCAAGTGATTCATTTTCAGTAGAAAATGGTATTATACTTAGGTAAATTCATTTGAAAGATTTTTTGTTTTATGTATTAATTGTTTTTTTGAATTTAGTAATTCTCGTCGATGGCCATTAATGATTGATCCTCAAGGACAAGCAAATAAATGGGTTAAAAATATGGAAAAACCAAAAAATTTACATGTAATTCTTTTATTTTTTTAATTTTTGTTGAATTAATTGAGCTTTTATTTTCTCTAGGTAATTAAACCTTCTGATTCGGATTATGTACGTGTATTAGAAAATTGTATTCAATTTGGTCATCCTGTTTTAATGGAAAATGTTGGCGAAGAAATTGATCCATTACTTGAACCATTACTACTTAAACAAACATTTAAACAAGGTGGTAGTTTATGTATTAAACTTGGAGATTCAGTCATTGAATATTCACCTGATTTTCGGTAAGTGTTGCCTTTTATTTTGTTTCAATAGTCAAAATAAACTATGATTTTTTTTTTCGCTAATCTGTACAAAAATCAAGGTTTATAGATAATCAGAGTAAAGATCGTTAAAAAATTTGTAAAATGCCAAGTCTAATTAGGGATGTGCAGTATTAGTATACATACTGAAAAGTGAGTCACTGACACACTGACAAGAGAAGTTCCCCAATTGATTAATCGCTTTTGAGTGGAGACTATGCGCTTACATTGAAAGAAGTTCGAGTCCTTGGATTATTGCTGTCGAGAAATCATAGTGTATCACTCATGTGCACTAGTAGATTCGATGCTTTTTATTTCAGGATAGGAACAAATCAAGAGATTGGAAACTCTCATAATACATTATTCTCGTTGAAGTTTGTCTCTATTAAAAGTTTCAAGTCGAAATTGGAAAAACAATTTTCTCTAATGTGTCTGAAGAGAGCCACGACATTAACTTAAAAAAATACCGTAAAAATGCAGTATCTCCAGTGATAAACTAATGGCCTAAACTCTTTTCAGAGTATTCATAGCTCATTAGAACCTACATAATAGAAATAGTCCAGACTCAAAAGTTACTATTCAGTTGGGGGACTCTCCTCGTGAGATTCACGTCCAAAACAACATTGAGGCATTAACTCAATCAAGATATAGCCTTTTTGTAGCAGTGTGTTCCAATGCCTTAGTGAACACCGGTATTAGTATGCACTGACTGTACTTAGTCAGTGGTCAGTAAACTGAAACTGAACGTCCTTAGTTCTAATAGATTGATTTGTCTGGATGACGTTGCTTATTGAGAAAGTCTCTTTCAACTGGGTGGTTCGCTACATACGATCTGATACTATTCTTTTTCTTTTTTGTCAAACTGTTTAAAATATAAACAATTTTTCTTTTAGTTTTTATATGACAACAAAATTACGTAATCCACATTATTTACCTGAAACAGCTGTTAAAGTTGCATTACTTAACTTTATGATTACATTTGAAGGTCTTCAAGATCAACTTTTAGGTAAATTTTATTTAAATTTCTTCATGCTAACAAAAAATCTATTATTTGTTTAAATAGGTATTGTTGTTGCACGTGAACGTCCAGAATTAGAAGAAGAAAAAAATTCCTTAATTATTCAAGGAGCTGAAAATAAACGAATGTTAAAAGAAATTGAAGATAAAATTCTTGAAGTTTTAAGTGCATCATCTGGAAATATTCTTGAAGATGAAGCAGCTATTAATGTTCTATCAAGTTCAAAAGCATTAGCTAATGATATTAGTGAAAAACAATTAATTGCTGAAGAAACAGAAAAAAAAATTGATGCTGCTCGATTAGGTTAGAATTAAAAGTTAACAATTTGTTTTTTTTTCTCCACTATATCTAATTTCATTTAGGTTATACACCCATTGCTGTACATTCAACAATTCTGTTTTTTTCAATAGCTGATTTAGCTAATATTGAACCAATGTATCAATATTCTTTATCATGGTTTGTTAATTTATTTGTAGCATCAATTGAAAATTCCGAAAAATCTGATATATTAGAAACACGTTTAGTTAATTTACGTAATCATTTTACATATTCATTATATAGTAATATATGTCGTTCATTATTTGAAAAAGATAAATTATTGTTTTCATTTTTACTTTGTGTTAATTTACTTAAATATGAAAAAAAAATTAATGAAGATGAATGGAGATTTTTATTAACGGGTGGTGTAGCTTTATCAAATACATTTTCAAATCCAACAGCATGGTTACCACAAAAATCATGGGATGAACTTGTTCGTCTTGATGAATTAGTACGTTTTAAAGATATAAGAAAAAATTTTCTTGCACAAAAAGATGCTTGGAAAATTGTTTATGATTCAGCTGAACCACATAGAGAAAAATTTCCTGATCAATGGCAAAATAGTTTAGAAGATTTTCAACGTATGTGTGTTATACGTTGTGTAAGACCAGATAAAGTTTTACCATCTGTACAAGATTTTGTACGTGATCATTTGGGTGCGAAATATATTGAACCGCCACCATTTGATTTAACTAAATCATATCAAGATTCAACATGTACAACACCAATTATATTTGTTTTATCACCTGGTTCCGATCCAATGTCATCATTGAGTAAATTTGCAGATGATATGGTATGTTTATTTTGTTTTGTTATTTCGATATAGAAATACAAATACGTACACTGTAATCGAAGCTATTGAGAAGTTATAATGGAAATTCGTCAAATAGTTTACAGAAAAAAATATAACATTTTTATGAATTTATCTTTTCTAAAAAAAAACAGAAAAAAATTATTTCGTATCTTCAGAACTACTATTCGATTCCGATTGAAAAATTTTATTGAGGATATCAAAATTCGGTTGACCCAGGGTCGGCAATTTTGGATCCTATGGGCTCTAACCTGTGAGATTTGTATCAAATAACAACGACTTTAAGTTTTTTTTTCGTATTTTAATATGGGCTGTGATCTATCATTATTAGTAGTAAAGACATATCAAATAACAGACGTATGAACTACACATATAGTAAAGCCTATCTATGGGAGCACCTTCTTATTCTGAATAGTGAGGGCTTATTTTTGGTCAATAACAAGCCCTATAATGGGAGTAACGAATGTTCTATCACTCGCGTTTAGAACAAGAAAAAAAAAGATCTTTTAATTCAATAATTATGGGATACATAAGGAAAGACAATAGACTAGCCCTGGATATTTGAAAGAAAAACACTAATAGGTAACATCAATAGTGCTTGATGTAACATATCCTTCTATTTGTATTAACAGCGAGTAACATCAAATCATGTCAACATATGCTGATTTACCTCTTAAAAAATTGTTCGAAATAGGAAAAAGATCACCTTATACAGCCAACAACTAAAAACCTCTGTAAAATGAGCACTTTTTGTCGGATCTGATAGTGCTCACATTAAAGAGATTTTACTGTATTCTGAAAAAGTTTTTCTTCGATGATTATTAAGCTAACTTAGAAAATCAAAAATATCGATTATTATGCTTTCCTTCTTTTTCTAGGGTTTTGGTGGCGCTAAAATGCCATCTCTTTCATTGGGTCAAGGACAGTACGTATTATTATTATTATTTTCTTTTGTTGTTAATTTACACATTTTTTTTTCATTACTTTCAGAGGCCCATATGCAGTACAAAATATACAAAAAGGTATTAAAGAAGGCAATTGGGTTGTATTACAAAATTGTCATTTGGCACCATCATGGATGCCTCAACTTGAAAAAATTTGTGAAGTATAAAATAAATTTTTTTAATTTCTCAATAAAACAAAAAATTAAAAAACATTTTTTAATTCATAGGAATTTAATCCTGATACAATACATCCAGATTTTCGTCTTTGGTTAACATCATATCCAAGTAAACAATTTCCTGTAGCTATATTACAAAATGGTGTTAAATTAACAAATGAAGCACCAAAAGGTTTACGTTTTAATCTTTTACGATCATATTTCAGTGATCCAATTAAAGATCCTGAATTTTTTGGAAATGCTAAAAATCCAGTACGTAATAATAATAAATATTTTCATAAGTAAATTCATTTGGTTCTTTTTTTATATAGCGTGCATGGAAAAAACTTCTATTTGGTCTTAGCTTTTTCCATGCCTTAGTACAAGAACGACGAAAATTTGGACCACTTGGATGTGAGTTAATTTAAAAGAGAATTTTTCGAAAATATATTGTCTTTTATAGGGAACATTCCATATGAATTCAACGAAACTGATTTACGTATTTCAGTACAACAATTAAATATGTTTCTTAATCAATATGATGTATAAGAAAAGGCTTTTTTTTTTCAAATGATTTCCTTAAAATAAGATTTTATTTTATAGGATGTTCAATTCGAAGCTATTCGTTATTTAACAGGAGAATGTGTAAGTTAAATAACTATATCCATGTTTGTCTTTTTTTATAATAAAATTGTTTTTTTTCTTTCTTGTAGAACTATGGTGGTCGAGGTATATCAATTTTTTGTATAGAAAACAAAAATATATATTTTCTATTTAATTTATATAGTCACCGACGATTGGGATCGTCGAACATTAAAAACTTTACTAGCAAAATTTTATTGTCCAATTATAATCGACTCAGATGATTTTCGTTTTGATGAAAGTGGCCTTTATTATGCACCATTAGATGGTGATGTAAGTATAGATTAAAAAATTTAACAAAAACAAAAATTCTATTTTGTTTTATTTAGTATGATTCATATATGACTTATATTAAAAATTTACCATTAAATGCTGATCCAAATATATTTGGTTTTCATGCTAATGCTGATATAACAAAAGATCAAAATGAAACAAATCAATTATTTGAAAATATTCTTTTAACACAGGTATGATAATATATTATTGAGTGTAAAATAAAATGAATTTAAATGCACACATCTGAAAAAAAAACATTATATTTCACATTTATTCATTCGTTAATTATAGACGAAAGCAAATGTAAGTTTTATTAATAGATCTTTGCTATCAATGTGCTTCTTCTTAATTAATTCATAAGATTAATTATAGGAGTATAGATATTTATATTTATCTGCTTTTTAAATATTATATTATATTATATTATATCTATCTATCTATCTATCTATCTATATATTTCTATACATATTGCTCTTTGAGGATAGAGATAAAAATTCCTTTACTTCTTAATTAATATTGTAGTTATACAATGCTTTATAGATTAAATTATTTTTTTCTTACATATATATATATATGTTTTTATTCGTTGTTTTGCTTGGTTTTCTTTAGGCAAAAGGATCTTCAGGTAGTGTTGGCAAGACACCGGATGATCTTGTTAGTGAAGTAGCTGCTGAAATTCTTGCAAAATTACCACCAAATTATAATATTGAAATGGCTATGCGAAAATATCCAACTGAATATAAACAAAGTATAAGGCTTTATTTTTTTTTCAAGGCCCATCCCACGCTCCCCCCCCCTCCTCAGAAACGTATTTTTACTTCAGAACAATCAATCTAGTTGAAAAGTTAAGAGCATGCGTGTCCGAATTTTCACAGTTCACAGAACAAGAAAAAATCGACCTAAGATATTGAACCATTCAAACGAGAAAACGTGAAACAAAATCTCACCTAGGAATCCAAGCTTCTTTTTTAATAAAATGGTATAGAAAATACATCGTAGTCGTGATTTCTGATAGGAAGATAGGCCTTAAGCAAACATTTAATGAATATTTACTTTTTTTTCTTCTTGTTAGGTATGAATACTGTACTTGTACAAGAAATGGGTCGATTCAATCGACTTTTATCAACTGTTCGTCAATCATTAATCGATGTACAAAAAGCAATTAAAGGTCTTGTTGTTATGTCAGCTGATTTAGAAGAAGTATTTATGTCAATGCTTAAATCGAAAATTCCTGAAACTTGGAAAAAGAAATCTTATCCATCGTAAGTATTTTGACCGAGAGAGGCAACAATGGAGAGACATTGAATTTGAAGTTTGCAATAAAATTCTATGCTGTTGGTTTTTAATTTTAGGTTGAAACCACTTGGTTCATATGTTCTGGATTTTATTGCTCGACTTAAATTTCTTCAAGTAAGAAGCAATAAACGATTATGTTTTTTTTTTTCTCTTTGTATCCTTTTTCTTTTCCTTTTTCTTCTCATACGCGTTTCTGACGAGTCTATCCTACTGTAGTATAAAAGAGCAGCATAGACGACGGAAAGGGTAGAAACGAAATAGTAAGAATAACAAAAAAAGAAAATGTTGTCAGCAGTAACGCGACCACGTGTTTTGTCGTTACTTGGTGCAATTCAACATACAAATCAGTGTTGTCCAAGTCATGGAGGTGGACTTAAAAGTGATTATGCTTTTGAAATGGCATGTTCAACAATACGATTTGGTCCAGGTGTTATTGCTGAACTTGGATGTGATCTTCAAAATTTAAATTGTTCAAATATTGCTCTCTTTACCGATGAACGTATACGAAAATTAAAATCATTTGAAAATGTTCTTCGTTCATTAGAAACAAAAAAAATAAAATATGATATATTTGATAAAATACGTATTGAACCAACAGATACAAGTTTTAAAAGTGCAATAAATTTTGCATGTCAAGGACAATATGATGGTTATGTTGCTGTTGGTGGTGGTTCAGTTATGGATACATGTAAAGCAGCAAATCTATTTGCATCATCACCTAATAAAGAATCAACAGATTTTCTTGATTATGTTAATCCACCAATTGGTAAAGGTTTACCTGTACGACATCCACTTAAACCGTGTATTGCTGTACCAACAACAGCTGGTACTGGTAGTGAAACAACAGGTGTTGCTATATTTGATTTTGAAGAATTACATGCTAAAACTGGTATTGCTCATCGATCAATGAGACCAACACTTGGTTTAATTGATCCAGATTTTGTTCAAACAATGCCATCACGTGTAGCAGCTAATTCAGGTTTTGATGTACTTTGTCATGCTATTGAATCATATACAGCTATACCATTTAATCAACGTACACCAAAACCGCGTGATCCTATTGAACGACCAACATATCAAGGTTCAAATCCTATAAGTGATATATGGTCAATACAAGCATTACGTACTGTTGCTAAATATCTTAAACGTTCAATAGAAAATCATCATGATGATCATGAAGCACGTAAACAAATGCATTTAGCATCAACAATGGCTGGTATTGGTTTTGGTAATGCTGGTGTTCATCTTTGTCATGGTCTGTCTTATGGTATATCGGGTAATGTACGTTCATATCATGCAAAAGATTATCCAACAGATCATCCAATTATTCCACATGGTCTATCGGTTGTCGTAACTTCACCAGCTGTTTTTGAATTTACAGCATCAGCATGTCCTGAACGTCATTTAGAAGTTGCATCAATATTAGCAACAGGTGGAGAAACAAAAAATAAATTTCTTAATCATTCACATAAAGATGCTGGTAAAATATTAGCTGACATATTACGTCAATTGTTACATGATGTTCATGTTGATGATGGTTTAAAAGCTTTCGGTTATACAAATAATGATATACCAGCATTAGTTAAAGCAACAATACCACAACAGCGTGTAACTAAATTAGCACCATTAACACATACACATGAAGATTTAGCACGATTATTTGAAAATTCTATGAAATTATATTAAATAAACAACAATACTTTTTTTTTCCTTTCGACTAAAAAAAATACAATTTTTTTTTTTCTTTTTTCTCTTTTTTCTCTTAATTAAACAAAATAGAAACGATAGATATTAATCATATATCTTATATTTCTTATATTAGGATTGGTACGAACAAGGTGTACCTAGTTGTTTATGGATTAGTGGATTCTTCTTTACACAAGCTTTTCTCACTGGTGTTCAACAAAATTATGCTCGAAAATATACAATACCTATTGATCTTCTTGCATTTAATTATGAAGTTATGGATGATAAAGAACCTAGTAAAGCACCCGATGATGGTAAAAAAATGATCTATTCATTTTATAAGACTTTTATCTAATTTACATATATATATATTATTTTAGGAGCTTATATAAAAGGTTTATTTCTTGAAGGTGCTCGATATGATAGAAAAACACGTAAACTTGCTGAGTCTCAACCAAAAGTATTATTTGATACAATGCCTGTAATATGGATTTGTCCAGCTAAACGAGATGAATTACAACAGATACCATCTTATACAGCACCTGTTTATAAAACAACAGAACGACGTGGTGTTTTGTCAACAACAGGACATAGTACAAATTTTGTGATAGCAATGAAAATTCCATCTGATAAACCAGAAGAACATTGGATTGGACGTGGTGTAGCCATGATATGTCAACTTGATAATTAAACTTTAGTAGAGTTTATTTTCATTTTTTATTTCTACACCGTCCGGTGATAGTTTTCCATTTGATAATCTTGCCATCGGAGATAGATACATATATATCTCTCAAAGATAAATATTCTATAATGTCTTGTTGTCTTTGTTTTTTTTTGTCTTCGATAATTTTTGCTTCTGTCTTCTTTTTTTTATGTTTTCTTTTCTTCCTTTTATGATATCAAATTTACAATGAAACAAACAGCAAAACAAAAGAATAACAGTGTTTAATTAACTCATTATAGTTCTATATAAATTTATTTTATTCGTTTCGTTTCACTATCTTCCTTTATGCTTCTTCACATAAGAACTTCCGTTTCTTTCTTTTTTTTTTGTAAACAAATTAATTTCAAACAAATAAACGTTCAATTTTCATTCTAAAAAAATGTCTTAATCTACAAGATGGCCTGAAAGATGCTGTGAAGTTTTTCATTGCAAATAACTTTTGATAGGAACAAAAAGAGAGCTGCGATTTTCACGGTTGAAAAGAAGAGACTTTGGATTTCTAGAAAATCAAGATGTTCGAAGTTTCAAATTTCAATGCTTTCAAGTCTTCTCTTTTCATCGGTGAAAATCACAGTTTTCTTTCTTGTTTCTATCAAAAGTTATTTGCAATTAAAAGCTGCCCGAAACTTTTAGGGCACATTGTATAGTCTTGTTCAAGTCAAGCTAAGAATAATCGAAATATTATTGAAATATAAATCCATAATTTTAGATTAATTTAATAAACTTAAGATAAAATAAAACATCAAATTCTCCATTATTCTCTACGGTAAATAGAGGAATTCTTTACTTTTAAAAAATTGAAGATTAGACTATTATTTGTACAGTGCTGGTTCAAAATTTAAAAATAGAACACAGTAACTTTCAGATCCCAGCACATTGTGCAAAATTTAGTTTTTAAGAATATCATTTTAAAGAGTACAAAGTAGAGACCTGCGGAGTCAACTTTTTTCATTCCGAAACCCGACTGCGACTCCGAAAAATTTCTTTCTTTCTTCCGACTCCGACTCCGATTCCGAAATCTTTCTTTTTATGACTCCGATTCCAACTCCGATTCCTAAAATTTTTATTTTTTGACTCCGATTCCGACTCCGAAAAACTCCGAAATTTTTTAACAATGTCATTTAAAAATAAAACGTTCTCAGCAGCCAAAGGACTCTTTAATGACTTAACA